GATCGCCTCACCCAAAGTATCATCTAGATAAACTATAGTAGAGGACGTACAAATCAGCCTGCAAAAGCATGAAACAAGGCTAAATACAAACAACGATCTCGCTCGTCAATACTTAAGCAATATAGCAGTCTAGCAATCAATATCGAAATTATACGTGCATTGCGCTTCGAAACTTATCAGATCATATGGGAGAATGTCAACAGTTTATCAGATCATATAAACTATGAACTTTTTATATAGATTCATAGTTTAAACCAACACGGCTGTGCATAGTCGTTGTTGGCACCGTAGTGAACCATCGAAACGGTCCAATTGAAATAGACTGCTTCTCAAGAAGATGGAAGCTAATTGCTTGATGATCCAATTTTTCATTCACAGCAGCATCATGTAAGCAAGTGTTTTTATTGCAGATTTAGTTAATTTGGAGGAACAACAAAATGAGCTAATAATCTGAGCATCTAAAAAAATCTCCAAGCAAGGTTTCTACCCGGACCTGCAGTAATGACAATAGCTTAATCTATATTGGCCTTGCCATTGTAAAGGAACAACCAATCTTCAAATGAACTGCAACCAATCCATCGGTAGTTGTGAGTTTTAAACATTTGGTACTAAACAGAATGCATTATTGCTAGCTAAAAAGATATGCTAATTATATATGAATTCGAATAGCATTTGCAGGTAGGGAAAAATATACCAGATCAAAGTGTGGCAAGGCAACAGGTAGTGCCTTTGACTTTGTCCGTAGTGCCAATCCTGCAAAAAGATTTGTTACGAACTCACTCCAAAACTATGAATCTTGACTCTTTAAGGAAAACTCTGTGCACTGTAAAACTGTACAAACGGCAAAGCACTATTCTCAATATTGAACATGTATGAAATCAAACTCGAACCCACCAAAATAAATACGAATCATAGATGAAACCATGAACTAACTAAATTGAGACAATATGATAGGAATGAACCTGAAAATATGTGCTGAATCTTTTTTACCTGTGCTGGCCAGGTACTTGATGAACCTAAAAATATGGACAGGACGACATTGACCTTCATTAACATAATGAACTGATATGTATGAAAAGAACTATAGAAATAATGTTTGTGGTCCAATAATAAAAAGCAGTAACATGGAGACAATCGTAGATAAGAGTCCCAACTTTTTTTAAGCAAATGCAATGGACTAAATAGCTGATCGATTGGAGTTGAACCTCTTTTTTGTGTGGGACCAGTAATTATTGGAATTGCCTGGGCTTGAAATTGCTTCTCATTCTCATAGTGTGAAATGTACTTAGACTCAAATATTTTAGAATTGTAGATGGTACCATATATTCGAACTTCAAAGAACCACTATATATACATATACCTTGTTTGAGCAGAGTAGCTAAAAAGTAAAAAAGAGCTTATAGTTTGAGTTAGATGAAGCGTACCCTGGAAAACAAAGGAAGGAATATACACCTCTTTAACACTGGAAAACAAAGGAAGAAAAATACACCTCTTTAAGGAGCCTAGCTGAAATCTAAAAGAAATATGAGCCTAGTTGAAATCTGAAGGAAATATATAGAAATAATAACATTGTGTAACACGTAACCAGAAATAACATTGTGAAAAAGGAAAAGAAAACAAATAACAACAGAAGGAGGAGGCATGCAAGAAAGATACCGCACATAAAGTATTCATATTGTGCCTACACGGCACATCACATTTTATCTACATGTGAGCTGCATAGACAATAATAAATAGGCACAATAAGTTAAATTGTTAAATAAACAAACAGACCTCTCAAATAGTGGAGGAATCACGAATCCAACCTGAATAAAATAGTTTGAAATAGTAATCGAATCATGAATCCAACCTACATAGAACAGATAGTCAACCTAAACAAATAGTACACAAAAATGGTTGCTAGGGATTCATTGAACAAAACACACCGCATCCATCCAATCAAAGATCTCATAGCCGAAAACATTTAGGGTGACGTGGATGTGTGTTTCTGCAAGGATCTCTACGGTAAAGTGAGACAATGTATCTTCACCTAGTTCGCGTCGTAGGCCTCCCATGTAAAAAAGTAGCACAACTCAACTATACAAATTAACAAATCAAGACATACCTAGGGTTTCCTATAGCACAACAAGACATGTGGAGGAGAGGGAGGAGGCGGCGGCGCTAGGAAGCAGCGACGCCGGCGGGGTGGAGATGGGAGAGGCGCCACCAGGAAGCAGCTACGCAGGCGGGATGGAGGTGGGAGAGGCGCCGCCCCGCTCGCGTGCAGCGGCGGCCGTTGGCGTGACCGCGGCGGGAGAGGCAGCGAGCAAAGAGACAGGGACAGAGGAGGAGGAGGGCACGACGTGGGAGAAGGGAGGAAAAGGACGGCATGGGTGGAGAGGAGGAGGCCGTTGCCGCCGCCACCGCCCTGCGCTGTCGGCGCCGTCGCCCGTGACCGCGTCTGTGGAGAGGGAGAAACGGACCGTGAGAGAGAGGAAGAGTAAAGAATAATCTGGATAGAGAAGTAGAAGCCGTGTATATATTCGTTTCACCGGATTCGGATCAGAATTTAAAGAAGCGGAAGAGAAGCCGAAGATAAGGTGAGAAACAGGACGAGAAGCCACTTCGCTGGGAAGCCGCTTCAATAAATCTAGACCGTCCAATCGAAAATCCAATGATCAAAAATATTTTGGGCAACGTGGACGATGCTTCCGCTCGAGGAGCAGGCCACCCTTGTCTGGGTAAATCTGGCCATACCTAAGGTAATAACGTGAGTCAAGTTACGTTTTTCTTTGCCATACCCAAAACAAGTTAGAAATGGCAGCCCCATCCTTCATCAGCAGAGTGGTGTTACTAGTTACTCATCAGCTCACCCACAAGGCCACAACCACCTGGCAGCCACCACTGTAGGCCTAGTTTGGGAGCTGGGGCCAGATTATCTCAGGGTGCGGACGCTCACACAGGGATTTCAGCGGTCATTCAATCTCCAGTCCCCAGCATGCATTTGGAGAAGTGACGCAACGTTACCACCTTGCATGTCGCCGATACAGGGTAGCGCCGACCGGCCTCGCATGTCAGGGAGAATCCGCCCGGGGAAACGTGAGGGTCGGGTTGCCATGCCCCTCCGCGTGGGGCTTCCAAACGCCATGGTAATTTGGCCCGTGGCCATTTTCCTCGTGGGGCTCCAGCCCGGAAAAAAGGCAGGGAAAGCCCTGCGGATAAGAGTTTCCAAATAAAGCCTAATAGGGGAACTTTCTTTTACTAGACAACCTGTGATTGCCCATTTTCCTCATGCTTCGTTGTGCCATTTTCCTTGTATTTTTACTGGCAATGTCAATCCAACTGTTCCCACGACAATGGACAAGTGAACTTCTTCTAACGATTAAGCTGAAACCGATAACGACCGATTAAGCACATGTTGATAAGCTTCACACAGGCAAACACAAAGAGAGGACCAAGAAATTTGTGACGGCAGACGAAATAAACCTTATAGACACTAATACTCTGAAGTCTTATCTATAGTCTAGTCTACGAGAAAAATATAAATCCTCAAGGGACGAACAAATAAACCCAACACAAGACTGGACCAAGAAATTTGTAACCTTGTAGCTGGTGGTTGGATAAGAGTCACAATTCACAAACTGCTATTCGCTTCCATTGCAAATAAGTGATATTTTGGAGTTATTATTTTAAATCAGTCATATCTACATTTGATTATAGAGTACCTATATGTAGTAAGTTTGGATACTTAATAAAAAAATATATAAGTAGATCTGTCTTGAAGTATATATACCCTATCCCACTCTTATCACTGCTAATGGTTCAGCTATCTAAAATTTTTAGTAGCATGGCGTGGACAGCGTGCCCTCAGTCATAATGCTTTAAGTATAGTCTAGTGGTCATAATGCTTTAATAGCACCTCCGGTTCCTGAGTTTTTCTCCGCGGAAAATCGGATTTATATTCTTTAAAACAATCTCCTCAGAGATTTCCTTGGCTGGTTAGGCTGGGTTCTAATTTTAAAAGCAATGCGGCCTTGGGAGGTCTTACCCTTTTTTGTGACATAAACCGAATCATCAGTTCGGAGGAACTAGACTGTTATGCCCCGGCCATCAGAATACTGTAACATCAGTATATCTACAACTCAACGCCCGTCCACCACAACCTGCGCCGCCACCACACTGTCAAAGCCTTATTAACAGTGGATCAATTATCTTACTAGTACCTGTTTTGCCAAGACGAAACGTGTGCTCCTTCATTTCCTTGTTTTTTTTTTTGTTTATGATGAAACTTGTTCATTTCTCTCGTGCTTAATTCTTCCTGCCGTGCCATGTTGCTTACTACTATTATTACTGCTAATGTCAACGATAACGAACAAGGAACAAGTGAGCTTCTTCTAACAATAAACCTGAAAGTGATAACGACCGATTAACCACATGTTGAGATAAGGGTCACACACATTTTTATGGAACGGATTGTTCTGACTGAATCTCCAACACCTAGGAAGCCTAGTCATACAAAGAAAGTCCTCGCTAACCACATTATCATGACTCATCATTTTAATCTAAACGAGATAATTACTCCACGGTTCGGGAAGTGCATCTCACCTTGCCATATAGCCGGTATCTATCATTATACTATACACCTAAAATTTGGAAGACTCATTCGCGGCCGTAACTCGCAGCTGAACGAGCGATCGTCTTTTCGAATTGACGTTGCATCTCGGTTCTCTGTAACTTGACACAAGCCAGCACTGCACCTACCGCCTCTACACTGCACCTACCGCCTCTACACAACGCCACGCACGCGATCACGCTAGATTAAAGCTTCTGAACATTTCTCTGTTTCGATTCGGACGCGCACGTGACGCCGTGACGGCAGCAGCTCTCGACGATAAGCCTATAAAAAGGGAGCCGGCATGATCATTCATCCAGAACAGCAGTTCAATCCTCTCTTCTCACCAGGCACCACAACTCCGCCGGACGAAGGCGACGACCTGGTCAGCAAGCGGGGAGAACGAACAATGGAAGCCGAGGCGTTCCCGATTCGGTTCACGAAGGGCATCAGGTCCTACTGGCGCCGGTGCGACTACGACCCGCGCGTGGACGGCGGCGGTGGCGCGGCGGGCCGCGGCAGGCGCCGGCACGGCGGGCTGGTGCGCCTCGGGGACGGGGATGGCAGCGGCGGGCCCAGGCCGTGGGCCGTGAAGATCGGCGGCATGTTCCGGCCGGCGCGCCGCGTCAGGGCGCCAGCGTCGGCGCCGGCCCCGTCCCCGGCGGCGACGACCGTGGCCAAGGCGCCCATGCGCGTGCTCGGGCGGATACGGGACGCCTACGTCGACGTGATGCTGGGCGCGGCCAAGACGCGACCGGCCGTGGCGCGGGCGCTGCCCAGCGCGCCCGAGGCGCTGTGGCAGAAGCGGGTGCCCGTGCGCCGGTCCAGTAGCCAGCAGGCCCGGCAGAAGCCCGATGAGTTCGGCCAGAGGCTCGTCATGGAGATGTACAAGTCCGTGATCGCGTCCAGGAACCTCTCGGGCATGCTCCGCGCGTCGGTGGCGCGATAGCGAAACCAGATGTCCTGCTGTGGCAAGTCAGTATATATGACCAGCAACACAAGTCTTTCACATTTCTTTGCCTCTGGTTAACAGTAGTACATGATACGTCTTTACGTGCACAAACATAAAGCATGGGGTGGTTCTGCTAAAGTTCTCCAATCCCAGTAATTTGTAGTGACCAATGTAACGATGTAACCGCTTCAACCGCGGTTTCTTTGTGATTTGTGGTTCTCATAGATGTTCAGACTATAAAGGAGAATTATATTAAAACTTGGCATAATATATCCCTAAATTTTCCTTTGAGATAGAGGGCCCCTAGACAGCAGCGGTGGCTTGGAGCCCTAGCTGAGCGGCGGCGGTAGATGCTGGGACCATCTAACTTCCCAAAGAACAAACAAATTATTGGACCATAACAGAGCTTCTTTGCTAGGAAAAGAATTATGAAGGAATAGTTGTTTTACATGAAACAATCCATGTGCCACATACTAAAAGCAAACTGAAGTAACTTTAATAAAAAGTTTATGTTAAAATAAAATGGAAAATTCTTGCAACGGTCATTAAGAATGAAAGGCTTCCTCCCAAAATGGCGTAAATGGATTGAAGTGTTTGTTTAGTGGTAAGGAATTGAAGGAAGTGACTAAGTGGATTCCTACTTCCAGACAAAAACTGGTCTAAGACAATCCACTTTCCCCAATACAATTTAACATACTCCCTCCATCTAAAAATAGTTGACGAACTGGTCTCAGACAATCCACTTTTCCCAATACAACTTAACATATTCCCTCCGTCCTAAAAATAGTTTTTTTTGCGATCAATCCCAAAAATAGTTGACGTTACAGCATTCAAACATAGTCTCAAAATACTTGATCTTCTTGCTTCTCAATGCACCTTTCTCTTTGCACAATACATCTTTCCCTTTTCATAATAATACATCTCTATCTCCATTCCTCTCTGAAGACATTTTGGTCTTTTAGCTACAACATTGATACTCGTGCGCAATCCTGAAAACTTCAATTAGAGTTAGGACAGGAACGCAGGGCTGTATCACGTGGGAATTCGTAGTTCAGGCGGTTACAGCAGATTTTCGTTCTTGTGTGTCGTTCCCCTCCGCTCGCTCGTTGCTTATAACTGCGAGACGGTTATTACATGGGCTTCCATTCTCCCGCCCAGACACACACGGGCCAAGCCCACTACTATACCACTAGGCCCATGGCCATATCATGCATACACGTGTGCCAAGCCCACTACTACACCTGTGTCTCGCTCGTAGCTGGGCTGGGGCTTGCACAGGCCCATATTGTATCACGCTTCATGCCTGTTGCATCCCAAAAATCGAATAAACAGTGCAGCTACCCACTAAACAAATACACCCCCAAAAATAGATTACATGTCGTTTAAAAAAAGATTACATGAACTGAAGACACAATTTAAGTACGTGAGACTGAGAACCCACAGCTGACTGACAATGAAGCTATCTTGTGTATGAATATTCACATTATGCTCTTATGTATGTTACTCGTATATATGTATCTTATTTATTTACGTTGTTGTTCGTATTTTTATACATTTTTCGTGTGAATTACATACATGACTTGCCGACTTTAGATGAAACAAAAACCAACGGTTCTAGGGCGGCGAAAGGCTGGCCTTCGCCGCGCCCTGCCGCGCGCGTGTCGGCCCTAAGGGCGGGGCAGGTGGAGGCGTTCGGCGGGGGTGAGCGTGTGGCGGAAGTGGCAGCGGTGGCCGTAGGAGCAGACCTCGCCGGCGAGCACCATGCGGCAGACCTGGGTCTTGTAGCGCGGGTGGCGGATGACGGGGCGGAGCTCGGCGACGCCGTGAGCGAACTGGCACTGATCGCCGTAGGGGCACGCCCCTGTCTCCTCCCACTTGTTGCACAGCTCCGTCTTGAACGTGCCCTGGTTGTACACCTCCAGCTCCCCATCCAGCTCCATGCCACCCGCCGCCGCCGTGTGTGGCGGCTCCTTGGGTTCCTCGCCTTTCTTGTCGCCGCCATTGCCCTTGCTGTACACGCGCTGCTGATGCGAGCATCGCATCAAGGTGCATGCAACAATGTCAGATGCCGATTAACAAGCGGGGTGTGATGAGGGTTGGCGAGGCGTGAACTGGGGCTCACCGAGCTTGCGTTGGTCTGATTCGACGCGCGAGGCTTGCGGTTGTTTGCGGCCGGCGTGGCGGGGTTGTTCATCTTGAGGTAGTCGCTGGTGCGGACGGAAATGCTCTTGGGCAGCACGGCGGGCTTCTCGGGAGCGCATTCCTTGGCGGCATGCTTGTGGTCCCCGAAGCCGAGCCGGCGGACCTCGTCGGCGATGGCGGCGGCGGCGGCCTGCTTGCCAATGCCGCTAAGCAGCGCGAGGCGGCGCGTGAGGTCGGCGTTGGCGACGCGGAGCTCGGCGTTCTCGCGGTGGAGCGCGGCGGCCTCGTCCGCGGCGTCGGCGAGGCGGGCGAGGCAGAGCTCGTAGCGGTCGGCCACCTCCTGGTACTGCAGCGCGAGGCGGGCGAGCTGGAGCCTGTGGCCCGTGGCGACGGCGTTGGCGTCCGCGGCCGCGGCGTCGTCGTCGCAGTCGTCGACGAGCGAGGCGGAGGAGGACGGCGAGAGCGAGACGGAGGAGGTGGTGGCGAGCGGCGACGGCGAGGAGAAGCCGAAGCTGGGGCTGAACGGCGACGAGCAGCGGAACAGCGCGTCGTCGCCGCCGCCGCCACCGATGCCGACGGAGGCGAGGTTATTGAGGTAGCCCGGCGGCGAGGCGAGGCGCTGGTCCCCGAAGGCGGCGAACAGCTTGAGCTCCAAGGCCGAGTGAAGGCGGCTGGCATTGCCCGGAGAGATGAGAGCTTCCTGCATGGTCAGAGGCTTCTTCTTCCAAGGCAGACAAGTAGCCTCGATCTGCGAATTGAAGAAACAGGTTGAATTGAAATGGTGTTCTTGCAGCACAAAGGCGTTCGGTTCACTGAATTCAGCAAGCTGCCAAATGCACGATCCAAGTTTTGACTGGCTCCCCTGTACTAACGTGTAACCACCACTGACCTTGGATGAACTCGAAACAACCATACGAGAGAAAAGAGTGCAATCGTGATCGACAGAAAGAGTTGCGATCGGTGTTCCGTTAGCCACCAAAAATGCAACGAAGAAGCCATTAAATTGAGCTGCTGGACCACGAGCAATCAATCGTACCTCGTGGACGAAGAAGCGATGGAAGCAGAGGAGGGTATGTTGGAGAGGACGATCGAGGACTGTGGAGGGGAGGCGGGTGCTGGGAAGGAACGCGTAGCGTCAGTGCCTATATAGCTGGGGAGCATGCCAGGAGCAGGGGAGACCGTGGGGCCCGCGCGTCGGCGAGACCGAGACGGCAGGGGGGGATGAGCCGCCCGGCCCGATCGTTCCGGAGCACGGTCGGGGGTCGGGACGTCCGGTTAGCTCCTTCTCCCTATTTTCCCAGTCGGCCAGTCGGTGGTTGGCAAGTTGGCTCTGCTTTTGGACCTCTGTGAGCTTCGCTTGTTTTACTCCGTCAATGGAACCGTTAGCAGTACCAGTTTGGTGCCGCTGCCGCACGACGACTGACTGCCCGATCGGTTCGAGCTGTGATGCTTGCAAATCACGGTTCGAGTGTTCCGCACAATGTACAGACCGGACTGGAGCATGTTGTATGTGCCAGTGCTGCTGCGGTTGTGCTAATCATCAGGGTTGTGAGATTGTCTTGTCCCGTCTTGTGGAAATCGATGGCTGAGACTGCACAAACAACATGATATTTTACCGATGGCTGAGGACTCTAAAGAGATCATGTGTTCTTTTCACAGATGACCACCCGTTCACCTTATCGATCCATCCGGTTGGGGAGATGGCAGTCGTGCCAGCACGGGAGGGTGCTAACGTTAATTTCTTCGACCACACTTCATCGATGCGGACATGTCGGGCCTGTGCCTTGGGCTTTATGTCAGGTCGGGGAGGTTGCATTTCCCACTCCTACAGTAGTCCCTGAGCTCCCGAAACGATCTCTCTCCAGCCTCAGCACAATCTAGGAAGTGACCATTTTCTGTATACATCCAAGAAACCCGTGCATAATCCAAGAGTCCAGAACGTAGTGCGTAGCCAGTAGTACCACCGTTGTCCTCTGTTCTTGTATCGCCTGCTTTCGTTTCTACTAGTAGCTACTCCCTCCATTCCAAATTGTAAGACGTTTGATTTTTTTGGCTCTAAGTTTGACCACTCGTTTTATTCAAAAATTTTGTGCAAATATAGTCAAATTTAAGTCATTCTTAAAGGATTTTTATTAATAAACCAAACCACGACGAAAGAAGTGATATTTTACACAAATTTTTGAATAAGACGAATGGTCAAACTTGATGTCAAAAAAGTCAAACGTCTTATAATTTGGGATGGATTGAGTAGCTACTTCAGTTCATTGCCAACCTTCGACTGAGGAAGAGTGCTCAGAAGCTACAGATGTACACGCACGACATAGGAGTATCTCTATCGGGTACACACAAATTGCTCCTACATGGCATGCATCCTCGCGCGGTCAGTGACAGTGAAGGCTCATCTCTCCGTTCGCAACAACGCAAGGCAGCGGGCTTGCTCCGATGGATCGAGCTTGCTTTGCTTTCACGGGTGAGTCCCTCTCGGCGCTCGCTAACCACCTCGATCGCGGCAGCCGCAGCCGCCTTAGGAAAATCAGAGTAACAGACTCGCGGCCAGCGGTCACACCACACCGCGCACTGACGACGCGCATCTCCTCTCCTCCCCCTGCTGCAATCATGTTGCTTCCTGCTTACAGCTTTAACTAACTACTACGAGTTCGCCTACCGCGGAGCCGGAGCGCGCGGCGGCACGTCCCACTCCATCGTTTCCTTTCCTCGTCTGGGCCGGAGACGGAGGCAGCCGCGACTCCGCGAGCGAAAGCCAGACAAAAAAACAAGGGAAAGCTCTCTTGCGTGCGCGAGAGCCTTCCCCTGCCCGGAGTGACGGCCAAACGAATGGATGGACTTTTTCTTTTTAGGTGAGGGCGCGATTACGTACCCTGGTCTGGATCTGCTGCGGTCGCCGGTTGCCATCCGGTTTGTTATGCACTGTGTCTGGTCTGGTGATGCCGACGGGTCGTGCGAATGAAGGCATGCACGCTGATGGATCCACCGAGCAGCTAGCTGCTGGGGACGGACGCACTGATGTGCCACTTGGACCAGAAATGGATGTTTATATGTTATCTATGGATGGTTGCCGTGGCTATCCTATTGTATTGTATGTCGGGCCAGCGCGCGGACATGGGATGAAGGATGAGAAACTGTTGAACATCTCATTAGGAACAGAAACTGTTGGCATACTCATCGATCGCACAACACCACGGGAAGACATTCATTCGTATTAACCGGCGAGCTTCGTAGATGAACTGCCTATTTGAGTTCTTTTTTGGCAAAAACGAAGAAAAAACACCCCTCTAACAACTTGGTAAAACAATTCTTTGAAAACAAGAAGTTGGCACAACTCACCTCCAACTCGTAGCCTTCCAGGATAGGAAGCCCATACCCCCCCCCCCTAACATCTGGTTTTTTTTTTTTACTTCGACCACGGTTTTCTCTATTTTGGCGCAAGTCCGTGGAGTTCCTAAGCATTGTCGCTCCTTCCCAACCTCTATCATCGCCGCCCCATGAAGGTACGAAGCCCTAGCCACACCTAGCTTTGCTTGTCCGCAGCTTGGCGACCATGGTTGTCACCTAGTGGAGTAAGCAACATAGCTCTCCTTGTAGCACTTTGTCATCCCTAGAACTTGCAAGTGTTTTGTGGTTTACTTGAGAAGCTTTTCTAGGATTGCACCCCCGTATCATGGCATTCATGCTTTGGAGTTCTTGTTTTGAATTGGTACCAAATGCCTTTAAGTTTGTCCTTAAATTGGTATCAAGTGCTTTTTGTGTTTTCCCTTCAGTTGGTACGTTTTGATTATGTTCTTTCAATTTGAGATATTTTTGACCTCTTCTTGATGATTGCGTTGTCAACAAGGGATCAGAAAAGGGGGCTACACAAGCAAGGGGGGATAATGCATTCATATGCCATAAGAGTCCACAATTTGAGGGGGGACATGCATCTTTTGCGTCCGATTGTGTTGAACTTTTACCTCTTCTTGAGGAACTGGTGCTTTATGTGATTTGTGCTTTGTTCATGGCCGCGTTGGGCCTTTACCTCTTTTTGAGGAGCCATGGATTATTTGTCTCCGTTGTGCTGAGTTGTTTCCCATGTCTTTAGGGACTGGAATTTTTTGGAGAGACAATTTTCCTCAATTGGCTTCGATAACCTTTTTGTCAATTGGTTTCAAGAGCTTTTATTTGCCAAGTGGGTTTGTCTCTTGCTAATTGGCTTTGATAACCTTTTATTCTCCGGAAAAAAATTGGCGGTTCCATCCGACACGAGAAAGATGCGGGAACTTTTTCAAAGTTGATGGCGGGGGGGGGAGACCCTCGATGATTAGACTCGACGAAAAGTTATTTATGACAGAAATTTTGGCTTTTCAATATTAGGTATACATAAAAACAACATGCTATGTCAATAATACTTCATGTTAGCCTTCTTGGCGTTGTTATCAAAGTTGTGGACAGCTCCGAGGTTGCCCATAAGCCATAAACCATAGGACGCCCCTCTCACATACTATGCAACGGCTGCCACGTGCTTTTTTTTGTTTTGCTTAGATTATTTTGTTATCAAATGGTTCTAAATTGTATCTTCTGTGTTCTTAAATTCACTTGCAGAAAATAGAAAATAAATCACATTGTATCACGTACGGTTGATAACTAACAGAGCAGTGATGTATTTACTGTAAGGGTTTAAACTTTTTAATTGGAATCTTTATGATGACTAATGTCATATGTGTTCTTCATCAATTTGATAAAAAAAAAGTTCTTCATCAGTTTGACTTATATAAGATTTATTGGGTACACAGGCCTTCCGATCAAATGGAATGGAAGCACAAACCTCCGCGCCGAATCATCGATAAGTCAAGGTCAGCAACCCGTGGCCTCTCAATCCGGCCCAACCGGCACTATCGGCCTTCTATCACGCATGGGCCCTCGTCCAGTTTGATGTCATATCCGGATATCCCGGAAGTTTTGGCGACAGTCGGCAGCCTACTGGAAAGTCTTGTGAATTTTCTAGGTCCGTCGAATTTGGCAATCCCATCAAACTAGCTTCATTCCTGCGTTCATCGGACACGGCACAGGCAAGGCAAGGCAATAGGCAATAGTGTGCCAAACTGCCAAGGAAAACACACATTATTATCTCAACAGATCAACGTGCATGGAAATACCGTGGCGTTGGTCCTTTGATAGTTTGATTGTACTGTAGAGTACTCAGTACGTTATATGTATACCGATCAATGAGCAATATTGTGGATGTGTTCTTCTCAAACTTATCACGCTTTCAGTCTTCTTCTGTATCCACGGTGTAGGTATCTAATAAGGTGACGTGTGAGATGGCAATCCTATCCTTGGACATTTTGTATCTGTGGATGTGAGTGTAGGTACAAAATTTCACTAACAGATGTGACTATTTGAGTATGAGTATGAATTTTTTATCCGAGGTATAAATACAAATATGTTGCTTGACTCATTAGTGCTTAAATAGGAATTTATCTATTCTAGTTACAATATAACTTGTGGGTATGGATACATACGGGTATCATACCTGATGGGAGGTGCAAAATGTTATCTATAGGTATATGTGTAGGTATCTGTTACTACTTAAAAGATACGGACTGGTTTCGTCCACAGGAAAAAAAATCGTGTGCGCGCCTCTGCCAAACTCCGAGTGGAGTCTCGGTAGTTTCCCTGTGCCGCTGCAGCCTGGGCTCCAGATACGCTCGTCCAAACAGGCAACTTCGTGCGCGCGCTATGTCCTGACTATCCGGTCTGAGACTGAAACGATCTCCACTTCTCGCGTCCGCGGAAGATGGCGTGGGAGCAGCTCCTCGGGCCCCTGGAGCAAGGTCGCACCGCTCGGTGGGACCAGATAGCTGAGCGCGGCGTCGGCGTGGAGGTGGCGGCTGGCGAGGGACGATAGCGACGGCTCGTTCAACAGAGACGGCGTCGCGGAGGCATGGTGCGACGTGTCATGCTGGAGGAGGACGACAAGGTTCTGGCTACCAACGCGATGAAGCTGAAGGGCGGGAGTTCTCTGCGATCAGCGACGACAGGATCAATAATGGACGACATTTGCACAGGCTGCACGATAATTACATAAGGTTTGCGATGAAGCTGAAGGGCTGGAGCAATTGATTTACTGAATTTTTTAATTGATAGTTGTAGGATTAAAGAGATATTTTAACACCGTATTTTATACAATCGCTTCGCGAACAAAAACTAGCAGTCCAAAGTTCGTCGTAGGTCAATTTTTTTTTTTTGTCATGGATCCGCCTGTGGCTGGCCACCTGTGCATGGCGCCTCTCGTGCGGACGGTGGTGAACTGCACCTGGCGTGGTTTCCACCTTGCTGGCATGTGCACGTAAATGTGTTCGATGAAATCCTCAAAGCTAACGTGCTCATGCAATTAATTTTTTTTTACGGTCAACGGGGAGGCGGTCCCATCTGAATTTATATATTGGCTCAAAACGGGCCGTTAGGTAGTTTAGCAGTGTTACAAGAAATTTTACATGGTTCAAGCATCACCCAGGTGGTGATGACTGAAAAGGCAATCAGTTACAAAATGATGTGATCATCCTTGTCTAGCCGTTTCAAACAACTGGCACCATTGATCGGCGACGTGCCGCTTCTTCCTAGGGAACCTGCATAGCCATTCCTCTGCTGTCGCTTTGCACGCTGCAAGAACTTGAGTGATGCTTTGCCTTTCGTTTCTGAAGACGGCAGCGTTTCTTGTTTTCCAAAGTTGCCAGCAAGACAAGGCAACTAGCGCTGAAAACCCCTCTTTCGGGACTCCTGTCGGAGGACTGAAGGTGTGGATGCTGTCCATGGCCATTCCCGCTAGTGAGTTCAAACCAATATTTTCCCAGAAGTGCCTACCGATTGAGCAGCCACCCATTATGTGTTCCGAAGTTTCATCCTGCTCATTGCAGACCTCGCATGTGGCATCCGGCAGCACATGTTTGCGATGTAGATTTTTTCGGCATTGGATCCTTCCTTGTGTCAGTAGCCACATGAACATTTGAACACGTGGCGGAGCCACGTTGAGCCAGACAAATTTTGCTCTATCATGCAATTAATTTCAAGATTGTGAAATGTTTCATTTGACACTTTAGAATCCCACCAAGTATAAATTAAGACGACAGAAGCATACGTACCAAACTGTGTAAGCTTCTTTCTGAAAAAAAAAACACTTTGTACAAAACGTGAATTTCAACGTCACTTTGACTGAACCAAGAAAACAAAAAGGAAAAATGAAAAAAAAAATGATGGGAACAGACGCTCCTAGCGGAAAAGAGGCGAAGGACGTGGGGAGTAAATAGAATTGAATGGATTTGAAAATAGTTTAGATTCCAATACAAAATCATTTATTACCTTTTCATTATTTTCTGAAAATAATCAAAGCAGCCTAGTAAACTTGTAAAATGCATAATTATAAATAGCAGACTTCATATTTTCTATGGAATTAGATTGGTTGATTTTTTTTAATATGTTCATCTAGGCCGCAAGCCACATGTAGCCATAATTGTTGGAAAACATTCATCGTTACAGTGCAACGCACGGGCAATTCGTACCCCCATGCAACGTAAGGGCATATATCTAATTAAATATTATCTGTCGGGATTATAATCCCGAGGTGTCTCAAGACACCGATTAGTTAGCAGGCCACGAGGCCTGCAATGCGCTAGCTAGCGAAGGCCCGAACGACCGAAGCCCAGTCAAGTCAAGCAAGCCAGGCCGGACACAAGGGCCAGAGTCAGAGTCAGCCACGACCTCTTCCTCCAGCCCTAGCCGCACGACGTTCGCAAAAGCACACGACCTCTCACCATTACGACCATCGGAAGAGATGGGGAGAGGTCGCGTCCGGCCAAGCGCTCCAGCTCTGACAAAAGCGAGCACGCCGCACCGACCCCGCAAGGACCGAGGGGATAGCCCGGTCAGACACCAACCCCATGCCACGCCGCACGGATAAGACAACACCGCCTCAAAGCGGTGGTAACGGGTACGAAGACCACCGACCAGACATGGCCTAGTGATACGGATATACGGTCCACCCACTACGGGATGTGATCCGCGACGAAGGCCACGACATCGAAGCCATCCAGACTGGCAGTGAGCCCCGACCTCGACAACTGGGGTCATGATCCTCAGCTCCTCAAGACAAGACGGTCATCGGCGACCTGGGGCAACCACCAACTCCCGTACGACGCCCCGGGAGACAAGACGATGATGACGAATACCACAACGGAGACCATGCCGCACAGGACGGCTGGCGAACCATCACCATGCCCACAGTGCCACCACGGCCTGCACAGTAACACTACGTCACACCTTGTCGCAGCATGACCACAAGACCATGACGATAGCCATGACCGGACGAGCACCAGAAAACAGCGTAGCTTGCAAGCCAAGTGAGCTAGGTCCTCCTTCAGGCTCACGATACTTCGGTTGGGAGAGCCTTCTCTTTATATGAGTAGCCCCGAACTCTATATAAGGACCGCCAGGACAACACGATTCACATCTTCTACCATTCCATTCATTCACCATTTGTAGTAGGGTTCCTGGAGCTTCTCTTCGGGCAGCCCTTCACCTAGCATAGGACCTTCCACCATTCTTGCACCCCCATTGTAAGAACTTCAGAGCATTTAAGCGAGGAACACGCACTCGATCATCTCTGAGACTGGACGTAGGGCTCCAGCCTGAACCAGTATAAATCCTCGTGTCTATTGGATATTATCATCGTCTTCCTAAAGCAGCATGGCAATCGTATAAGTTTACTAGTCTGATTTACAAAACACCGACATTATCCGTTAGCCAATTCGTCACGGACGAGTATTTAGGGCATGTTTGGTTTGCACCTCCTAAAGTTTAGTCACCAAAACCAGCTCCTAAACTTTAGTCACTCTCTGTTTGGTTTGGTGGACCAAAAGAGACTAAAATAGGCTTTTTAGTCGCTTTTATTTAGTCAGGGTGTTTAGCTCCAAAGTGATTAAAAGGTGAGGCAGTCTGACTAAAAGGTGAGGTTTAGTCATATTTAGCAATATTTGAGTGACTAGTTGGCTAAAGCCCATTTAGTCATATTTAGTAAAAGTGTTTGTGTAAAAAATGACTAAATTTAGGAGATCAAGAGTGAATCAAACACCCCCTTATTTACCATAAGAGCATCCCTAAGAGTACCTAATATTTTGTTCCTAAAAACATAGAGTTTTATAACTCCGAAAAGAGTATTAGGAGAAATAAAGTTGCCCATCTCATAGAGTTTCCAATAATTGGCTTCTAAAATCAAAATTTTGTCCCACGATATTTTTTTTGGCACTTTTTTCGCGCGACATACTACACCGCTCACGCGAAACCCTTCGCGCCGCCGCCTCATTCCATGGTGCTGAGCAAGGAGCAACAACACACAATGAAAAGCAGGTGGTGGTGGACGCCATGGTACTCAGCAAGGAGCAACAACACACAATTGCCGAGCAACAGCACACGACAAGCAGCACCGAACAGCAGGTGGTGCTGGATGCGGAGCTCCAGCTCTGGAACCACACCTTCGGCTATGTCAAGTCCATGGCGCTCAAGGCTACGCTGGACCTCGGCATACTGGACGCCATCCACCAGCACGGCAGCTCCGCCATATGCTCCCACAGATAGTCACCAGGGTCACACTCCACCCGTCAAGACACCGTGCCTGCGGGCTGCGGCGCATGATGCGCGTGCTCACCCCGGCTGCTGCGACGACGGCGAACTCATCTACGGCCTCATGCGACGACGAGCTCGTCTACGGCCTCACACCGGCGTCCCGTCTCCTGGTGGGCTCGTCGGGGCAGCAGAACGTGAGCCCTTTCACGCCGGCGTCCTGTCTCTTCGTGTCGTGCTTCCTTGACCTCTGCGTACGTCGGCGGCGGCGGCCCGCGGCCAAGATCATCTCCCTGGACGTCGACCTTTGGCGCGAAGGACGCCAGTCGCAGCAATCTTCCGCGCGCGAAGGAAGAAAACTGCCCGAGGAAACTATGATACGCGTGAGGGGAGTCCATGTTCCCAAGTGCTAAAAGATTGGGATGTAAAATTGGGAGTTGTTGAAGATGTTTTTTTTCTATTCTTTCTAAAAATTTAAGATTGGGAGAGTGTTTTGGGTACTCTTGGACATGCTCTCCAGCAATGTTATCTAAAACAGACCCCTACTTATTTGTTTGGGTAGCCACCTATTTTAATAGTACTCATTTTTTACCGTTTTCTTTAGCAACACTAACCTAAAACGGGTCTTCCAAATCCATCCTAATAGAGAAATGACCTCTTCCTTCAAATCGCCACTGAAAAACTCGGTCATCTCAAGCGCTCGTGGGGGAGGGCCACCATTGCAGTGTTCACCACCGGGGAAGGGTCGGTCCAAGGCGGGGCGAATGGGTACGTCGGCGTTGGCCCCATATCACGAGGGCCGACGGGGTTGGACAGGGAGGCGACGTCCATCTCCCACGGGTCGGCGGGGTCGGGCAGGTGGAGGCGGTGCCGACGTGGAGAGAGGGTGGCGACGGCACGGAGAGGAGAGGGAGAAGGCAACGGACGGCTTGGTGCCGCCGAATCCGGGCCGGACAGGGAGCAGGCGGCGCCGGCGTAAAGGCGGTTTGTGGCCAGACATGGCCTCGTCGGAGGGACCGGCGAGGCGCCTTCTCGAGGTAACGGACCAACGCTGGGCGAGCATGTGCAGACGAGCACGAGGAGGAAAACACCGAAGAAAAATTTGGATAGCCATCTGTTGGCTCAACAACAGTCTGCCAATCAACTGCCATCCCCAATGGCACATAGTATTTGAGAGTAAACGTTGAGTGGAACAAGAACAATGTTGTTGTGGTGGAGGCATCCGAGCACGGCCATGTGGTGCTCATCAAAGTCCGTGGACGAGGCATGGAGAACTGGAGATTATTTGGCCTTTGATGTGGTGGCGGTGTGTTTTGTGCTTGTTGCGACTTGTGAGAAAGAGCAGGGAGGAGGGAGATGTCGTGGTGCAGAAGAAGGCCAGGGGCTGTGAGTGTCAATTCACGTCCAGTGCACGCTGGCAACGTGAGTTGACAAGCAACATAAGCAAAAAAAACGTGAAATTAGGAAAACAGAGAATGGTCATCATAAAGATGACAAGCAACATAAGCAAAAATAACATCATGTTCGCTTGAGTTATTCACCTCTATTTTTCAACTATAAAATAATATTTTTTTAAACAAAATTTTAGCATAAATTAAATTTCAGTATATGCGAACAGGGTGACGTCGTGTTTGGCTCCAGGCTGCAGTAGGTCCCGTGGATTGAGAAGCCGATTTGCGTGGAGAAAGAAGAAAAGGTCGTCTGGGCATGTACCGGTATCGTCACGGGCATGGTAGTAGACCCTGAGACCTGAACCTGAGTAGCACGATGTTGGGGTGGCGGCGGAGTCCGAGCGTAGTCAAATCCCTCGAGGGCCTGCAAGGTTGCGCGGCGGCGACGCTGTTGAGACGAGGGAGGGAGCAACCTGATCCACAGGCGCGACGGGGACAAGCCGCCGGGACCCCGACGTGCGGCTCTCCCGGCGCCCCATCGATTTCCGTCGTCTCCACTCCCCTTCCCTGTTCCCTCGACGACGACACATCTTCTCCTCTGGGTCGACGTCTCCCTTCACTCGTCGACTCTTAAACCCTCCCCGTCCCTCTTCCGGTCAGTTCCACGAGCTTCGGAGCATCTCGTGATTGCCTCCTACTCCTAGGTTCCTCCGCATGGCGCTGTCCGCCGCCTGCTCCATGGCCTCCGTCTCCCGGGCCCTCCGCCTGCGGCCGCGCGCCGCCGCCTGCTCGGCTGCTCGTCTCGGTACGCGCCTCCCTCGCTGTTATTATTATTATTCCTAATTTTCGTTCGTTTGAGGTGGCTTCGTTGACTTGGATGCGGTTATGGATGCAGGGTGCGGATTGGGGATTGCCTGCTCGATGCCAAGTCACGGAATGGGGAACGAGAAACACCAGCTGGGATTGGCCGTTGCGTCTGCACCAGCTGCTCCTGTTACCCCAGTTCTCAGGTATAGCATGCTCGTGTTTTAACCAGCCCTCTCGAATTGGTCTTGTTTAACGAGATCTCTGTTTAGCTGTTCAGGGCATGGATTGGCCAAATGTGATGTGAGGACCAGAGTTTGACTTTGTCAATGTGGTTTTAGAGTTTTGTGTAGTCAGTTTTGTGCTAGTTCATGAAAATTGACATTGCTTTATTTACAAATGTAACTTTTTTTAGTATGATATGCCAACATGCATAAGTCACAAGAAATTGAGAAATTAAACCTGGTAGTTGCTCCAAAGGAAAATGAACACCTTTAACAGTTCCAAGACATAGTATAAACTGGTGTGGAAAGGAAAAAAAAAATGCTTGTGCAACTGCAGGTAATATGTCAAAACAAGACATGCATTGATTAAATGAAAATATGTGATTATGCAAACCTAGTATCTTCACATATAGACGAATTTATCTTGAACAAGAAGATACTTAAACCGAGATCAATCAGGAAATGCTTCTTCTCATCAAGTGATCCAGGCTAAGTACTCAAAAAGTTCTTTTGTTTCCAAGTCAAACAAAACATATCACAAATATTATTTTAAATTGGTCTCTCATAAACTTGTCAAGGAATAGCCTGAAGGCGCCATGCTTCCTTCCCCTGCATACAGTTCCACTGAACTGTCAGCAAAAACAAAAGCTCTCATAAGCAGAACCGCTAGGCCATGATGAGAAGTAGGAACCTAGAGAGTAGTATACATTAACCTCAATAAATGCCATTAACAATCTCTGCCTAAGATATTTTTGAAAAACTGACTTCTAGATAATGAAATTATCCATGATTGACAATTTGGTGATGCCTACATGAAAAGGAGAAATCAGCTAATCATCAAACACAATCTTAGATAGCCAAAATATTTTCTACTTTCAATGTCAAAATTACAATAATTGTAAAGGAACAATTGTCATCTAAAATATTTTCTACTTTCAATGTCAAAATTACAATAATTGTAAAGGAACAATTGTCATCTTTCAATAGATTCCATGCATGAATAAAAAATGCAAAAATGATATTAATTTATTATAGTTTTTTTGGGGGGGGGGGCAGCCCCAGTGCACGTAGCTCCCGCTTGCGCAGGGTCCGACCACTTGGGTCTTTTGTACGCAGCCTTTCCTTCCATTCTGCAAGAGGCTGTTTCCAGGACTACCCGTGACCTCATGGTCACAAGGCAGCAGCTTTACCACTGCGCCAAGGCTCCCCTTCTATTATAGAATTTCTTTGAGAGCTTAAAAGTCTTGATGGATATTCCACATTCACGCTAATTACTCTAGAAGGAAGACAGTATTAAAAAAACAAAGAACCAGAAGTATTGTAAGCTCAGGGAACTCTCAAGTCTTTAGACCGCTGCTGTCTGAAGCCTGCACAAGATATTCTGAGAATGGTTGTCGATAGCTAATATATTCAGAACCATTTCATCTCTATGGGAGAAATTGGGAGTGAGAAAAGTGTTAATTTAGTCAGTGTAGGCTGACTCCGAAGACTCAGAGTAATCATTGCTCTGAAACTTTGGCCTAGTTTCTTGTCAGAAATAAAATTTCTTGCAATATAAATCAAATTTGATGTGTTAAAAGCTTACAATATCCGAGTACATGCAGAGCACCAGGATTCTTGTCACACAATTTTATCTTTTGCATACAACAGACACTTGTTTAGCTTTTAATCATACACTGTTGCTCTGGTAGAATTATTGGCTTTGGAGATTCAGTAAAAATGGGTGCGATTTTGCATGGCGAGCTTCTAACATGATACTACTTTCTGATGAAGTCTAGGTGCTGAACTGAAAAAAGTGTACAGACTGTGGAGATATATTAGATTCAGTACCATCTACCTCAGTTTTTAGATATTTTTGGTATGATCTGAGCAAAGGCTTCCCCAAGCTTGACAGAGCAGGCAAAAGGGGTCTAGAAGAAGGATGGATTGCACACATTTACTTTTTTCATCTAAAATGTACTGGGTAATACTTGCATCTACTGATAGTGATCATGTAAAGAACTAAAGTATTAATTAAACTGCTGCCACAAGAATTCATCAAATACACTCACAGCCTCTCCAGATGCGTAAGATGTCCAATTCAGGAGGGATTGGCTTCTTTATCATTAAATTGCACACCAGTATGTTCTGTTTGACGTTGCCTCTTATAATTTACTGGATTGATATTCTCCAAGTACTCATTATGTGTATGTCCTGTGTCATGTAAACCAGTATGTTGAACATCTATAGCATATAATAGTACTGTAGTAACATTATTTATAATTAGACCATGCTACTTTGCTAATCGCTTCGATCAGGGTGTTCTTTTTGGTTACCATCAGCTTTTGCACGGTTTTCGGCTTACTAATTTGAACTGGTTCTGCTGCGTTTTTGGATATAAAGTACATTGTATATAGTGGTTTGCTGAAACTTTCTCGAATTTTCTCTGAACATTATCTGTCTTATAACAGTTTTCGGCCTGTGACCGGAAGGTCCTGGGTTCGAGTCGCGGTCTCCTCGCATTACACAGGCGAGGGTAAGGCTTGCCACTGACACCCTTCCCCAGACCCCGCACAGAGCGGGAGCTCTCTGCACTGGGTACGCCCTTTTATTATCTGTCTTATAAATTGCCCTGCTGGTCAAAAGTTACTGCTCTGCCACTATAAGTTAGTCCAAAAGACGAACTCGTCAATGGAGTACCTTTCGTCTGCTCTAGTCATCTGATCGGATGGACATAATTGTATGCTTCTGAACATAGTTGTGCCTTTCACTCCTGTGCTCAATTTTGTAAAACTAACACTTAGCTAAAGGCAGATTAACATATTTGTTGCTTATTAACTTTTGGGATTCCTTAACTAAATCTATGCACCTCAAGGTGCAAGATGGTAAGCGAGTTTGTAGCAAACCTGTTACAGCTATCATGTTCTACCCTTTTGGCTTGTCAAAGTCATATTTTCCTCTTCAGTACCATAATATTCTTGTTATTCTTTGATTTCCTTCCATCTGTGTAACATTTCCATTATTGAGTTTTTCATTCGTCAGCCACTATAGTTATTTTTGTTTTTGATATCATGTTAACACCAAATACATCCTTCTTTCTTTTGGCTAAAAAATATCCTTTTACAATTCTTAATTCTGTCAGTCTCTTGCTTTACTTAGACTTGTGGGTGATGACACCTCACACCTCAAAGACTGTAAACTTGCTGAAATAATTCTTCATCATGTGAACTAGCTAAACTGCTCTTTTGATAGTCTCGTTATTTTGCACCCTCAACTAGGTTATTGATAATTGTTGTTATGCATTCCTAAAGTTGAACTGTACAATTTCTTATCTCAGGAGCCGACAAATTCTGTGCAAAGCTGAAGCTAACATATCTAGTAATCTTCCGGATACTTTCCTACTGGAGTAAGCCAGTATGAAAAAATTGTTGAGCTGCTCACCACTCTTTTTCCTGTCTGGGTATGTAGTACAAGAGCATCTGAAGGTTTTCTTTTCTTTTGCCTACTAGTGTACATTTATGCATGGTGGATATGACACAAGTTTTTGTAAATCTACTAATACCCGAGATCACCTATGGTAGGTTATACTAGGTACTATCATTGGCATCTACAAACCATCTATGGTAATAGTTCTACCACTTTCAATTGCCATTACTATCTGTGGAACCAACAGTTAACACCTTACCATTTTGTTGGGGTTTCATTGGACAACCTGCAGGTTACCTGGTTGGAGACCGACCTTTTCACTATGGGCTTAGGATTCCTAATGCTGTCGATGGGACTAACATTGACATTTGAAGATTTTAGGAGATGCATGAGGAATCCATGGACAGTATGTTTCTGCACCCAGACACCTGTATTAATCTATAAGTATCCAACATCCAGTTAATCTATAAGTTATTATGTATGTTCTGCACTTCTGCTGAATTGCTTCTTCGCAGGTTGGTGTGGGGTTTCTTGCGCAGTATTTGATCAAACCTTTGCTTGGATTTTCTATTGCATTGGTAACTCTCCTGTAGACACAAAAATATGTATAATGGTTGTTTATATTTCGAATGCTTTGTTGTAAACTGTATGACACTTCAATGAATTGTAGGTTATTGAATTTTTTTATGGTAAACAATATATTCTGTGCATTGTTTTTTGAATCATGATTGTGTTGTATCGTTAGTTAAATGTTGGTTATGGTATAAAGTTTGATCAATGAGTGTACAGTTGGCCAACTGAAGTTGATCACTCCTTATAATGTGTTTTATTTCCCTTCACTTTATACTTAGATGAGCACATTTGTTGCTGGATTGAGGTCTACATCTGTCTAACAATAAGTGTACAATGCTATGATCATGTTTCATCTAGGAGAAAGGTATCTGGCGATACTTGTTTTTCCATTTTAACCAATCACAATTTTTTGTACCTTTATTTTGAGATGCTGCTATGAGGGGCTTTCTTTCTCTGCTATACAAGCTTATTCGAGAATTTTACATAAACTTAGCAAAGATTAAATGAAAAGATTGAAGAGACCTGGCAAGAAACTTACCTGCCAGCAGATTTGCCAGATACGAATGCCACCTGTATTTTTTTTTTCTCTCGGATATGCAGGACAGCTGTGTATCATTGCATTAAGAAGAACCCAGTTTCTTTACTTCTTCGTTTTTTGCCTTTAATCTTCTATATTTTCTTCTTTGTAAGGTGGTCATACTGTCTCATTTGATCCGGGCATATTCTAATGTAACAAAGTTAGCCATGTCTTCCACCACTTACAGTAACATCTGTTTAGCTCTTCATCGTTTACATTTCACTAGAGTATCTCTACCAGACATTTCATTTTAATGCCTGCATTTATAAGCACATAATTTGGGTGCTTTATTTTGCAGGCCTTGAAGCTATCAGCTCCTCTTGCAACTGGTCTTATCTTGGTCTCATGTTGCCCTGGTGGACAAGCGTCAAATGTTGCAACTTATATATCCAAGGGAAATGTTGCGCTTTCAGTTCTTATGACCACGTAAGCTTGATGTTTTGCTTGCAAAAGAAAGGAATTTGTTTGGTACTTGTGTTAATCTCTTTGACATCCATACACCTGCATCTTTCCTGAGCTTCTTTATCCATTACTAAAGCTGTAGATACTTAGCATCCGCATGCATGTATCCTTTTTTTAAGAATATACACTGCATATCTTTGCATTAAGAATAATAATAACTTTTAAGAGTTCAAAATTGAGCCACCAGGGTTACCCGCACACATTTGCAATATTGACATCACGCACACAGTCACTCGTACACATTTGCTCATGCTATGGGATTATACACATCTGTCCTGACACCGTTTCATTTTCTGTTGCACTTATCATTTTATTATTGTTCTATCTGTTTCCAGGTGGAGCGTTTAATTGCAAAAGGTTTATACTATCACAATCACAATATTGATTTGGACAGTGCATTCCTGTTGCCAGTTTCTATTGCTAGCTTTATGTTGTCGAGTTGATCTTATGCCAGATCTCTCTGTAACATCAGTCCCCCGAATTAATGCCAACAATGCTCTGCTGTTGTCTGAACAAAATTTGGATTTAGTTGAGGATTCCATGGTGAAATTTTGGAGTGAAAAAAAAACTTTTGGAATTAACATAGGCAATGTCAAGTTTAACTAGCTTCTAGTCATAAATCACTTTATACCCTCTGTAGTATCATAGCAGAAGATGTTTGTGTAATCTTTTTCTGTAGAATTTGATTAGCAGGTCATTGACTGTTGCATGTAGTATTTCTGATTTCACTTTATTGTTCTGTTATGCTACTTAGTTTTTGATTTAGAGATATTCTTTCGATGCTATTTATGCTTCCTTCAGCCTACTTCTCTATTGCATTCTAGCATCCCCCCCGTGCATGTTATAGTTGCTCAACTATTGGTGCTATAGTGATGACACCCCTCCTGACTAAACTCCTTGCTGGTCAACTAGTTCCTGTTGATGCAGCAGTAAGGACACTACAATCCTGTTCCAATTTGTTTCCTTAATTATGTCTGCCTGAGTTAAAAGGATATTTTGTTTACGCAGGGATTGGCCATCAGTACTTTCCAGGTCGTTTTGGTGCCGACTGTTGTTGGAGGTGCTTAAAAAGCTTAATGGAAGATTAATTTACTGACTTTTAGTGTCTTAGAAATATTTTATGACAGCTGGTGTGACTATTTCTTTCACTATGCAGCATTGGCCCATGAATATTTTCCTAAGTTGACTGAGCGCATTATCACTGTAACGCCCCTGATTGGTGTCCTCCTCACCACTTTGCTTTGCGCGAGCCCTGTAAGTCTTATAAAGAACTTTCCTGAGTAAGATTCAAGCCTTTGTATAACTGTTAGTAATTCAAAATCATTTTTTATATATTTCATGAAAACCAAAATCCACTTTTGTTGAGTTAAAGAAAACGCAATAACCCATTCTAACCTGAACAAGCATGTGATGATTCTAAGCATGGTCAGGTGTCCTTATCTTTTCTTAAATAGTAATGCGTATAGGTATATCCTATTCCCTTATACTCCCTGCGTTCAAATTGTAAGTCAGTTTTAGTTTTGTCCTAAGTCAAACTTGTCTAGCTTTAACCAAGTTAAAAAAAAGGGGCGTACCCAGTGTAGAGAGCTCCCGCTCTGTGCGGGGTCTGGGGAAGGGTGTCACTGGTAACCCTTACCCTCGCCTGTGCAATGCGAGGAGACCGCGACTCGAACACGAGACCTTCCGGTGACAGGCGGTAAGACTCTACCGCTTGCACCAGGCCCGCCCTTCCTAGCTTTGACCAAGTTGATAGAAAAAATATATTAACATCTACAATATCAATAAATGTACTATCAAAATACATGTCATGTTGTATATAATGAATCTTGTTTGATGTTGCAGATGTTTGTGCATTTTACTATAAACTTGGTCAAAGCTAAAGAAGTTTTACTTAGGACAAAGCTAGCATGACTTACAATTTGGAGCTAATGGAGTATATTAGTAAATAGTTGCTACTCATAATGATATTTTGAATAGTATGAATGGGATACTATTTTTTTTCTCTAGTTTTGATTCAAAACTGAACTTTTGCAAGATTGGACAAGTCGCAGAAGTGTTGAAAACTCAAGGTGGTCAACTTATTATCCCTGTCGCTTTGCTTCATGTTGCTGCATTTGCTCTTGGGTACTGGTTATCGAGATTATCTACCTTTGGGGAATCAACCTCTAGGACCATCTCAATTGAATGTGGGATGCAGGTAAAGATATGTTGATATGCTCAGGTTCAATCTGTTCTCATCTAGGCATAGAAATTTGTAGCACCGTTCAAAGCTAGATGGTTCTTATTCGTTGTTTGGGATGTTATTGGATAGTTATGGACAAGTAAAGAATCAATTTGATCAATTATTTGTATAAATTACTCTGCTGGTATGGTTTGTTATGTATTATGTAGGTTGCTTAAACACCAATATTCGTAACATTATTTTGCTGCCTAATCGCTCAAACATGTTATCTGTCAATTGGTTGATGATGTGTAGACAGCCCCTTGATGAATATGTTTAGTTTTCCACTTTTGATATAAAATAAAATGAGATTGACTTTTGCAATTCATACTCTGTTCTATCGAATGAAGTTGTTAGACACTGAAACCTCGGTGATTGTACTAGCAGTTTGGTTCACAAACCATCAAAACATCATTAGCTGGATGACTACCCTTCAGTTACCCTTGCCTAGAGCAATGTGCATTTTCATACGTTTAGTGCTTGTCAATCTCACCTTTTTTCTGGCAGAGTTCTGCACTTGGATTTTTACTTGCTCAAAAGCATTTCACAAATCCACTCGTTGCTGTTCCTTCAGCTGTCAGCGTTGTGTGCATGGCTCTAAGTTTTCTAGTTCCCCTCTCTAATCCCTGCACTCATTCATTTGCATTCACCACTAATTTTTTGTTTGGGCGGCGTAAATAAAATATATTTGTCAAAGGTCTTCTATTTTATTTTTTCCATGACAGCTTGGAGGGAGTGCTCTTGCAGTTTACTGGAGAAACAAAGGGCTTCCAGCGAATGACAAAGATGATTTCAAGGAGTAAAGAAACTCAACACATGAGCTCCTAGCTATTAGAGTGCAGTTCGATCAGAAGGATATTCATGTTCCAATACTTTAGGCATAGATAGGAAGGCCTATTCTACTGTTGATTATCATTAGGGGTTCCGCTTTGCCTATGTTTGGTGTGTACTATAGTATTTCATACTATCTTCGTTCATGAATAAATCACGTTCATGAATAAATCAATTCCTAGAGTTATCCTAAGTCAAACTTTTTTTTATGTTTAACCAAATTTATTAAAAAAGTATAAATATTTGTGATACCAAATAAAATAGATTATGAAAATAATAGTATGATGTATCTAATGATACTAATTTGGTGTCACAAGTCTTAGCGTTTTTTCTATAAATTTAGTTAAACTTAAAAAGTTTTTAAAAATAAGCTGCTTCCGCGCAGAGCAGTAAAAAAAAGAAGTTTTGTGTCCCTCTGGTGGTCCTCTGTTTACGATGCAAGGGTGAGTAAATAATATTTTGAAGAGACTGATCTGTTTGTTTAGAGTTGTCGTAAATCAATTGTTAGAGTTCTCCTAACTCAAACTATTCAAAATTTAACCAAATTTATAGAATATTAAATTATATTTATTATTGTTTGTATGGGTTTTATTTTAGACTACTCCCTTTGTTCTAAATAAAATAACTTTTTAGAGCAGTCACAGCGTTGTAAAAAAAAAACTCTTCTTTTAAGAAGAGAGAGGAGCCTCGTTTTTGCACGTTGCAACATACCATGACCGGAAGAAATATGCTAGCATCCAGGTCTGATTGCATCGATGCCACGAGGTAATATTTGTTTTGGTATGTCTCCTCTCTGTAGCACTCACATACTACGCCTCGAAGGATTTAAAAAAAAACTCGATCCACGGTGGCTAGACACCTCCTGGTAATCTTCTTACGCAGATCGAGAAAATCTCTGAACCTCTCACGCAGATCGAGAAAATCTCTAAACCTCTGCCCCACTAATACACAGCGGCACCGTAACTCTGAAAATGAGCTGACCAAAACCTATGCTTTGGATGTGGGGCAGACAAAAAGTTTTTTTTATCTCGCTCGGAAAAATTCTCCGAAAACAACGCGCGGGTGCACCACACCTAGGCCTTTGAACCCGCACCAGGAGGGTGCTACTGAGAGCGCCGGCCTGGCTAGCGTCCGTTCGCGCCTTCGAAGGATTTCTTTTTTTTATATATTCTTATATCTTATATTCTTATGGCGCACTTTGTCGATCGATGCCTGGATTGCCTAAGCTGCAGCCTGCATGGCTTAAAATCCAACGTGACTGGTGACCTGTGAGGCTGTGAGGTTCGTTTCTCTTCTAACCCAGTGCCTTTGCCTATGCTGCGGCTGCTCTTAGAACATCTTCAAAAGTTTTTCTTAAATTTACGTTTAAAGCCCCATTTAAAGAGTCATTTAAATAGAAGTCATTATTTATATCTTTCCACACTCCAACAATTTCTTTATATATTATGTGTATTTTGGAGACACCTTTTCACTCTTCATTTTTGGCCAATGAGAAATCTATAATCGAGGATAGCAATATCTAGAGATCTAATTGAAGAAGCGGGCCTTACTAAGGTACATCCCTTACCTCATACTCCCTCTATCCCCCTATGTGTGCCGTTCTATGAGTAGTACTAGATGTCCAGATTCACACAATATTCAATGCACCTGTACATCTGTGTCTAGGTTTAGATACTTTTTTGCTACACAAGTCCAGAGCCCAAACGACTAACATATTGGGACGGAGGGAGTAGAAGGTAAGATCTTAAATAAATCTTAGCCCTTGATTTTTGAGTTGCATACAACAATTAAATAATTATTAATTAATTATAATGTTTAGAAAAAGGAAAAAAATAAAAGGCAACAAACTAAACAAATGTAAATAAGATATCTACTATCCGAGAATAGTTTGTTCGTTGCCATATAAACCGATGGAGTGCACCAACATGCAACAGCTACATGGAGGTGGAGCGCCCAAGGCAAAGGCCCGCCTAGCACCATGCCGGACCTGACAAAGTAGAGCTGTAGAGGTACATCATATACACGAACATGTCTTGTGAATATATTGATGGTTTGGGCCTAATCAACTTCAAAAGCTGCACTTTGATTACTGAATACTAATGTTGAATTATAAAAATAAATAATTAATTTAAATACAAACATGTTCACGTTCCAACTTAAATAAATAACTAAAATGCACCTCTACGTTTGTCACATTATTGTAGAAAAAAAATACAACTAACATCTATGTACAACTAGCGTCTATGTACATCTAACGTTGAGATAAATTACAACTCCACGTAGATTGATTAATGAAAAATGTTACATGTCACGTTGGGAATCATCCAATACAAATCCACGGTCACATGTTTGTATCTCTAATTGATATATAAGTTACCTCAAATTTGATTACTTTCCTATTTATCAAAAATAATAAAAAACATTTCTCCTATTACCTCGTAGGAGGTAATATCTGATTATAGCCACCTAGATCGACGGTCCACATTTATTTAGGGTACTGTAGCAAAACCATGAAGAAGCTGTCTGGGAACTTTTTATCACCAAAATCTTAATTCCTATAAATATGGAATGATATCTAAAGAAGCTCTTGGAGTTGCTCTTAGAGAAAGCTAAGTTAAAACTACTACTTTATTCCCAGAATAAATCAACTTAAAGTTGTTCTAAGTCAAATTATTTTAAAAATTTGACTATATTTATTAAAAAAACCAATATTTATAACACCAAATTCGATTTATTTGGTTCATAGACGATATTACTTTTCTTCTATAAAGTTGATCAAACTTATGGTAGTTTAACTAATTTTATAGAGAAGAGTTCAGCTATAACACTACATAAATACACTATAAAGAAACTTGGTCTGTGGGGGCAAGACGACAGCATTGCACTTTGAGGCCGATCTCAGTGGGGTTTCAAAGGAGTTTAATAAATTTGTTGACTTAACAGCTTATTTATGAAGAGAGATAGAGAGAGTTCTCCACTAAGATTGGCCTAAAGGTAGAAAGACCCCTCATGTAGGCCGAGGGTGCTACTAGTAGTCTAGTATGCCTCGACCAGCCGGTCTAGGCAACGTTCGCAAATAAATAAATATGCTATAAAGTTAACTTTTATGATAATATTACTAATCGAACATCTTAGATATTTATGCTCTTTCACGGTAAATTAGGTCTAACTGAATGTACTTTGACTTTAGGACAACTTTATAAGCTATTTTGTTGTAAAAAAAACTTTATAAGCTATTTTTTTGAACGGGGGGGGGGAGGATGTATTAAAAAAGCATTTCACTATGGTGCGAAGTCCATGTATTAAGGTTGCCTTGCGTTCTAAGTAGGCCGAATTAAACATGGCAACGCACGGACGCGATTATCACTTGTATTGGCTGGCGCGGACACGATCACTAGTACTGTATATATAGTACAGTACTGGTAACTGTTCAACGTCAAAACCGTGGGTAGGTAAAACCACCGGTAGTAGCCCGGCCGGAGATGCAGACCACACCACACGCGACATTAGTATGGCTCGAATGCATGCTCGATGGCTTCCGTGCGTGCAGGTGCAGCATGGCTACGGCATCTTTCCGTCGCTCTGATGATTCTGATGGGGTGGTAGGAGGATCCAGGCCTTGTTTAGATAGCTGTTAGAAATTAATATTTGGTATTGTAATATTTTCGTTTGTATTTGATAATTATTGTCCAATCATGATCTAACTAGGCTCAAAAGATTCATCTCGTAATTTACCATCAAACTGTGTAATTAGTTATTTTTTTATCTACATTTAATACTCCATACATGTGTCTAAAGATTTGATATGATAAAGAGAGAGTGAAAAAACTTAGAAATCTAAACAAGGCCCCAATCATGGTGCCATCGTAAAGCTGACGCAGTCGCCATGCCCTCGCTCTCGCTGCTGCCCGTACTGCTACGTACTCTGCAGCTAGCTGCATGCCTCCCTCCGTCCCTCAAGCCTGTACTATTCCTGTAACGTCAAATCGACACGTACTATATGAACCCTACCAAGCACCAGCTGGCGTTGTAGAACGGCGAGAAGAATGGAAGATCGCCATGTCCAGTCCACTGGAAACTTAGGGCAACTTTAAACGTACTACTCCCTCTGTCAAAAAAATTAAATCAACTCTCACTTTTTGAGAAAATAAAACAATTTTAAATTTAACTAAATCGACGTAAAAATACTAGTATCTATGGTACCGAATAAATATTATTAGATTAATCATATAATATATTTTCATGGTAAACCTATTGAAAAACATAAATGTTGATACTATTTTCTATAAATTTGATCAAACTTAACAAAATTTAACTTCTTCTAAACCTAGAATTGTATTTTTTTTGGGGGGATGGAGGGTGTATAATTTAAGTAGGGCTAGCTATATATTCTGCCACATCAAGGTGTGCTAAGTGCTAACTTATTACATTTTGCTCTAGTGTTTAGTACAGTCTAGCATCCTTGAAAATCAAAAGATGAAATTTGTCTAGTTTTGACAGTTGAAGAGTGCCCGTTACCTGGGTTCAAAGTTGAGGCTTGAAAATTGGACTTGCGTGTAACTTGGGTGTTGAAAAATATACTTTACACTTGTTTCATCTACCTAACTTTCCACCACACCCTATTATGTTTGCGGGCAGGTTTGCAAGTGCAAAGAAATTAAAACAAAAAAAAATAGCCTTAGTGGGTGCTAACTTCCCATTTAAGGCCCTGTTTGGGGCAGCGTGCTCTCACTTTCCGGCGGAATAAGCAAGTAATCCCGCTTTAAGCGGCCCGTTCAGGTGTCGGGTCATGGCGCAGCGCTCATGATCTCCGTCAGCCCAGACAGATCCAAAAAGCGAGCCTTACCCCCTGTGTTTCCGAAATCGCGTGGCTTTTCCTCTCCATGCCCCTCCTCCCGACACCATGCTCCCCCGTTCGCTCCCTCCCCAGCGCCGCCTGCCCATCCCCCAACGCTTGCCCCTCCCTCCCTCC